TAAATAACTCATATAGATGTTGATATGCCGCTTAAAATCAAAACAACTGCTATAAAATAAAATAAGACATATCTCGACTGATTTACAGGCAAATACTCAAGAGCGAGAGCCGGATGTGAACGGGACAAAGCCTCGTCACAAAATAACTATTATCTCCGTTTACAAATGTTCCTGACACGCGAGTTCCGGTCGAAAAATAAAATAATATTTAAAGTGTTCTATTTTTCGTCCAATAAAAATGCTTCCCTCCTAATTACACTCGCTTCGTTTTTCGAGCCTGTTAAGCCATAAAAAACGCTATGAAAGGGGTCACACGGAAGTTCAACAGGCAGTCCACAAGTGGCCATAAAACAGACCTGTCACGGTCAGGCCGAGCGATCAGCAGCAGGAGAGCATCAACCACCGTCAACATGTGTGAACTACTATGAGAGATCGACCTAGATCCGAAGCCGGCTTATGAACTTTACCACAAGGTAGCTATCCCAAACCCACACGTTCCTGTTGAAATAAACCACGTAAATCTATTTCTGCTGTTGTCGTATTTCTTTCTTGCAACCATACGCTTGTCTATAACACAACCAACCAACACTTGGGGAAGGTAAGAAGGATGCTAAGGATATCATGGACTGAGCATGTGAGCAACTTAGGCTGAAAACAAGGAGAAAGCTTATACTTGACATCAGAAAGAAGCGGCTGAAGTTTCTGGGACACATAATGTGGAAGGAGGGCCTGGAGAATCTGATACTCATGGGTCGAATAGAGGGAAAGAGCTTGAGCAGGTGAATGACAGAACGTGGTCTGGGGGGGGGAGTAAGCAGAGAGAAGGAACTTGTTGAGAGTTGGAAGGGATAGAGGAAGGTGAGGAGCCATGGCCGTCTACGTCCTGAAAGAAAAACAAAAAGGACAACCACGACTCATCAACCAACAGCTGTGGGTTAATGATTAATTTGTACCAGAAAATCTTTCTGGCTTTAAATAAACAGTAAAGGGTTGGTAAGCCGTAAAAAAATGAATCAACCAGTCACTGTGCAAGGCATAATGAAATTAGACAGCAGTCGTAATTATCGTAAATCATACTTATTATAAAACCCAGGTTGTGTGTGTGTGTGTACGTTTATATATTGGATCGGATTTCCTACATTTTTCAACCGATTTCAACAAAACTTCACAGGACTGCGTAAAATTACCTTGCGGTGGTTCTGACAGCGCCCAAAATTGGAAAAACACAATTGTTTTTGCACGAAATCAATTTGAAAACACGATTAAGAGGCATCGCGAGAATGAAAGGGGACAACTCATATCGAGTTATACTTATTACAAAACCCAGGTTGTTTTGTGTGTGTGTGTGTGTGTGTGTGTGTGTGTGTGTGTGTGTGTGTGTGTGTGTGTGCGTGCGTGTCTGTGTGTGTGTGTGTGTTCGTTTATATATGGGATCGGATTCCTACATTTTTCAACCGATTTTAACAAAACTTCCCTTTTTTTGGCTGGTAGTGTTTCTTATTGTCTTGCACACTTTTTTTCTTTATTTTTACATTCAGAATGCTTTAAACATTCCATTTACAAGACAATTGTTTATAATAAAATTCTATTCAATTGGTAGACTCATAACGATTGAAAACAATGTTTTTGTTTGAGTTTGGGTTTGTTTGACCAATTCGTAAAAAAAAAACAACAAAAAACAAAAACAAAAACAAAACAAAACAAAAAAAGAAAACTAATTAAGACATGCGTGTCCGTCAACCTTAAACAATAATCTTTGTCAATTTTATTTTTCAGTCTTTATGATGGTCGATACTTGATCTATCTCTTACTGTTACATTCCCGGGCAATGCCGGGCTCTACTGCTAGTAATTATAAAAACCAAACGTGCCCTAAAAGAGGCGAAGTCTTCGTGACAAGTTTGCTTCTTGCGGTTTAATAGTAAGTCTCCTATCCCTCATTATATCTTAAATTAATTCTTAGTGTCTTTATTGCCTTGCTTGAGGTGAAATGATTAAAAAAATATGTCACCAGGTGTACCAACAAACACACGCACACATACACACGCCCACACACTCTCTTTCTTTTTTTATTTTTGTCTGTCTCTTGTGTATATTTTTTCTTTCTTTCTCTCTTAAATTAAAAAAAAATCACGTACAGCAGCGAATGAAGGAAAATAATAACTTACACTGAAAATTGTTTTGTTTTTAACGTGTGGCCGAATTCATTTCTTAACGCAGGACCCAACCCAAGAATAAAAAAGCTGTCCCTAGGAATCTAGTCTTGTCGATATAATTTACTCCTGAATAATGAATTTTATCCACACTGGGTACACTAAAGCTTGTGGTAGTGGACTGGAATTAAATAAAACTGATTACATATGAGAATAATTCTATTTATTTTAATTTCAATTTTTTTTATTTTTTATTTGTTTTATTATTATATTCTGTTGTTCGCTTGAGGACCTTTCTGCGATATAGTGGTCTAGCCAGTCTAACGCACTTGCATTCGCAACGGCGGGATGTATGTGACAGTTGCAGCAGCAGCAGTGGGTCTCCTTCTACAAGCAACAACAAAAAGACGGAGCCGCTTTGCTTCTTTACCAAACAACGTCCTTGTCAGCCGACTGAAGGATATCGTCTGCTCTTCTTGGGTTTCTGGTAGTAGCACCTCGAAAAGCAATTATCGTCTTCCTTGTTGGGAAAGTAGACATTTAACTACAAGTGCTCGCCGATCTTTCTGTTTAAATCGCGTACACAATTACAACAACATTGCGATGGCCCCGAAGAAAAGAGTTTGTATTATCGGATCTGGAAATTGGTTAGTTTTTGAAATTCATTTATTTATTTCATTTTTACCTTGACCCTGAACCTTTTTAAACATTCAATGTACCAAGGACAGTTGCATTACGACCTAAATGTTTTGAATATTGCAAGCGTTGTTACTTTCTTTTCGATTTTTGTATTTGGCTACGGACGGAAAACATTTTATTTTTATGAACAAAAACTTTAACATGGTGATATTTTTTTTATAAGCAATTCCTACATAAAAAGAGTTAATTAAAAATAAAATAGTTTTCTTATCTTTAAAAACTTTTAACTTCAGTGATTAAAAAAAAAAAGTTTTCTTGTACACCTTACTGACAAAGAAACACGATTAAACTAAAAAAAATTAAAATAAAAACCTGTTTAGTAAGTAAACACTAAGTAAACTAAACAGGTATTTAATTTTATTTTGCGCATTGTTAAAAAATATCAGAGAATTTATTTTAATTCACGTATCTCTTTTAAGGTCTTCTTAAATTACACATATGATTTATTTTAAAACTAAGTTAATAACCTTTTTTCAGGACCGCTTTTAGTTTTGTTTTAAATACACGTTGATTTCTGTTCTTGATTAGAAGGCAACACCAGGTAACCCTAATTTTATAATTTATAAATTATTGTTATCTTATTTGCACCAACGAATCCAACGTCGATGCTGATTTATTTAATAAAAAAATGTGATAAAAATACAAAATCAAAATTTCTTTTACTTTTTTAATCAGTGTATCTGATTTGATAAACTTTGTTAACGTACAGGAAAAAAATGCTATCATGTCACCTGGGAATGATCGGAGAATTTATCGATCGAAACACGCAAATAAAACAAAACAAAACAAGACAAAAAAACTAAACAACAACAAAACACAAACAAACATTGTGCTTATTTAATGAACTGCATACAAAAAATCAGTTTTAAGTTTTTTTATTCCTGTTTTGGCTTGTTTACACTTACCTTCCCAACTCAGAGTTTCACGGATATGTTATCTCTTCGTCAGAGGACTAGATAGTAATTATTTTCACATTATTATTATTATTATTATTATTATAAAATTAAATTTATTGTGTATTCTGGGTAATTTAAAGAACAGTACATTTACAAAGACTGCTTGCCTTTAAAATTAAAAACATTATTAGCCGATTTTGTTCATTTAAAAATGCAATCTTGTCGCTTAGAAGTCTTAGCTGATTGGTGTTATCTTCAGTTTCGCAGATGGAACCTGTAGCAATCGTTCCGTCCACTCGTCAGTGGTATATACATGTTATATTTATATACGTGGGTGTAATAAATACATTATATATATTATGCAGCATAATATATATATATATATAATGTATTTAGTATATATACTATATTATTTATATCATATATTTATAATGTATATATTTATAATACTTATTTATTATATATAATATATTTATATATATTTATATATATAATAATATTTATATATATATTTATTATGTATATTTAATATATTTATTGTATATATATTTGTTATGTATAATATATAGTCATTATATTTATATGTATAATATATATTATATTTATTATGTATAATATACATACATACATATATATATATATATATATATGTATATATGTGTGTGTGTGTGTGTTATTTTGAAATTATTTTGTTTAACCGTTATTTTTATGGATACTGATATATGAGTAGAAGATTTGTCTTTTTAATTAAACAGTATTTTTTTCATCCAGGTGTATGTACTGGCCAGAATATATATATATATATATATATATATATATATATATATATATATATATATATATATATATATATATCAATTTGTTTGATGATTGCAAAAACTCATATCCATATGACTGAATGTTTGCTCTATCATTGATATTGAGCGCTTTCTAATAAGCACCGCGCATATATATAATATATATGCATATATATTATATGTATGCATATATATTATATGTATGCATATATATATTATATATAAATATTACATATAATATATATATATATATATATATATATATAATTTTCTATTTGGCTTGTAATCTTTTTTATTCAAGTTTCATTAAAGATAACTAACATTTTATTGCAATTAATCTTTTTATTCAATTTTTCTTGTATTTGTATAAGTGTTTTCTATTCTGGGTATAAAATGAATAAAAACTGTATGAATGTTTTATATATCCAAGCTCTTCTGGATATTCTACTCAATTTTATCATGGATGTTTTTTGAATTTTTAACTACATATATAGATTTTTACATATACTTATTTATAGTGATAGAAATATTCTTTTATTTTCCAAACATAGACAGCATGTTGTGACTCAGTTCATAGATTATAAAATTGAGTGTTGACTTTTTCTTATATATATATATATGTATATATATATATATATATGTTGTAACTTAGGGAAGGTTACTGAATAGAATAATCACATGAAGTTTGGTAATGAATGATAATACTTAGGACAAGAACAACACATGTATGATTCACCAACAGCATGTTGAAGTAGTCAAGTGAATTCCACAATAAATCTCCAACTGCAGACTAACATACAGTATTTACTACTGTATTTATGTGAATGGGGACATACCCATTATCATCCGTAGGTATGCTACAACAGTATATTATATGTTGGCTGACATGCAGCTAGGAGATGGAAATCTATTCCAAATACCCTGTGATTGTAACATGGTGCTGTGATTGAGTGAGTGTGCACTGCGGGGCACAGGCAATTGGCCACTTTAAACAATTCACCTGTGCAGGTTGAGAATCCAAATTATTTTATAGCATTAAGAGGTCAATGACCTAATGGAGTAATAAACACTGAACTTGTTTTGTTTTTTTCTTTTGTCTCTATCCTTTTCTTTTCAATTGCTTTTCTTTTCATTGTTCTCTGGCTTTGTTACTTACCCACCCTTTCTTATCCCCCCACCTCATAACATTTTCTTTCCTCTTTGCTTTCTTTCTTTGCTTACCTTCATACATTTGTTGTGTAAATGTACAAAATACAGAAAGGCAGTTAATCACACACACACTCTCACTCTGTGTGTGTATGTATGTGTATATATATATATATATATATATATATATATATATCTTTATATTTTAAGACATTTTTATGTTTATGCATTCTTTTATAGATACAAATATATAAGTAAATGCTCTGTTTTATAATAAACAGTATTAAACAACATTCAGGCCGGTAAATGTTGTTTAATACTTTTTTTTTTTTTTTTTTTTTTTTTTGAGTAGCATCATGATTTCCCACCTGATGAAATGTTAAATTTTTTAACATTGAAACAAGATGTACAGTTTTGTAGTGGGTATGTACATATTCTTATGTAACAGTGCATAATAAATATATATATATATATATATATATATATATATATATATATAATTAGTAAACAAAAAAATCCCAAATTACCTCTTTTAATTTTAAATTAATATTTCATTCCTCATATAACCCCAAATTAATGTCATAAGGTTGATATTAGGGTTGAATTTTATAAAACTTCTTCTAGACAAATAAATCCCACCTCCCCCTCATCCCTGTCTTGTGCCTTTCGTCTGACTGAAACATTGAAATGGATAAATTCTGGATTAGTTTTTCAACTGGTATTTTTTTCTTTTATTTTAGCTTTCACAGTTAAATTTTTATTTCTGACACAAACCCAGTCCACACTGCGGCTGATAAGACCGACAACTGATAATTTTGTCTGCTGAAATAGGCTATTCCCTATATGAAGTAATTTTGGATTTTATTGTTTATTATTTATTTGCTCTGTAATAATAAATATACTTAGCTCTTTTTGCGGATCAGTTTTAATATTTTATATTACTAGGATCCACTTGGATTATATACCAATGGATGTATTACCTTTACTAATATATATATATATATATATATATATATATATATATATATGTCCAAATGAGAGGGAGAACAGAAAAATTGAATGTGTCATATTTGTCTACAATCATGATACATTTGTTGCTTACTTGTTTACCATATCATGAAAAAAAAATAACTCTCTTACTCCGACCCTCAGAGCTTAATTTTCTATTTAGCATAGATTTGACTTTTATTTGGTCGATCAATTCAAACTCACAAGTCTATTTTTAATTCTGACCAGTTTCCTTTATCTTTCGGAAAAGAGCTAACACTTTGCCTTTAGAGTTGCTGAAACAAAAGCTATTGTGTTGCAATTTCAACATGTTTTTGTTATGATCTCTTATAATAAAGATAATAATAATAGATGTATATAAGTGGGTAAGTAATCCAAGTAGATCCTATTAATATAAAATATTAAAAACTGATTCACAAAAGAGAGCTCAATATAATTTTTATTATAGCGCATATAAGTGAATTACAATCAAAGAAACCCAAACAAATTACCCCATACAGAAAAAAAAGATTTCCCTGGACATGTCAATGCAAATACATTTGTTAACATGGTTTGTCCCATGGATGAAATGGCCATCTTTATGGGGTAATTTGTTTTGGTTTCAGTGATTGTAATTCACACACACACACATATATATATTATTTACAATAAAGGTTCACTGTTTGACAGGCCCATGAACCACTCAAGGTAGAGGGTTATGTTAGGGAGGCAATTTGTGCAGATAGGAGTGGAAGATAACAGTTAACCTTAACCTTGAACAGATTCTAGTGATTGTAATGATTGGGGAAACATCCTCTAGGGGGTTGGTTCTACGCAGCAGTGATTCTTGGGAAGAAGCTGTTTGAGTGGAACTTACTTCTCACCAATGAAATATGGAGGGAATGTGGGTGGTTTGTTACTATGTAAGTGGTATACATACATCATATATATATATATATATATATATATATATTATAGGTTTTTACATATGGACAAAAACAATTACTCACTACAAAATGTATTTTTTTTATGCATTATTTGCATCTCAACTGATGAGAATCAAAAAATGTTTATCTATATCTATATATATATATATATATATATATATATATATATATATAT